TTCTAATTTCTTCTTCTTGTCCACCAGCACTTCAAGTTTTGCATCACCTTCTTCTTCTTCTTCTTCTACTTCTTCTTCTTCTTCTTCTTCTTCTTCTTCTTCTTCTTCTTCTTCTTCTTCTTCTCATTTTCTTCTTCTTTTCATTTTTTCATTATATGCTTTTATTTGTATTTTACCCTCTTCCTCCTCCTTCTCCTCCTGTTCCTGTTTTATCAGCTCGTTTAATTTGCCATTTCTTTTCTTCGAATTATTGATCTTCATCCACAGCATATGAGGTGTGTGTGTGTGTGTGTGTGTGTGTGTGTGTGTGTGTGTGTGTGTGTGTGATTTGGATTTTTAACGTAGGTTCAAAAATTTTGCAGTCTTCTCGCTACGATGTCTGCAGTGGCAGTTCATAGTGATGTCTAATACCGGGCATTATGCTGCAGACATGTAGGATAATGTGCCACCCAGTCTTATTACCCTAAGACCAAGCCGAGCAGTCCTAACACTAACCTTTTAAAGCTCAGCGTCATGAGAGACAACTGTTAATACCACTTTTGTAAGTCTTTGGTATGACTCAGCCGGGCATCAGAGACCTTCCTCATCCGGGACGGGTGCAACCTATGAGGATTATAAGCCCCAAACTGCATTCCTACCAACATTTTCTCCACCATATGAATCGTATCCACCACCCATCATGCAATTGTGTCACATTCTGCAAATGGTTGGTTGCCATTTTGTATTCAATGTTGAATGGCACGAATGACGAATGCTACAGTTTATATGTCTCAAGCATTGACGTGAATGAAAACATCCCCTCTTACTAAGGTCTCATACCACCTAACAAACCATCCCCAATGATGGGAATGCTAGCCTAACATAAACTTTATTTTATAAGAAACACATTCATGCTAACAAAATTCACGTTATTTAATATCAATACATAGTGGAGAAGGAATTTTGAATACGAAATACACCATTGCTACAATTTCACCAGCAAAGGAATTAGTGTTTATAGTCACAATACTCCACATTCACAACAAATATTTAATTTGTTAGGGACAATGGTTTTGTTAACGAAAATACACACACACGTTCGCGCATGCAACCATATACACACACATACACAATTATGTGTTTGTAGGCACACTTGAATTCTTTGCCTACAAACACAAAGTCAGACAAATAGTTTGGCAACTTTATTAGTGTTTTTTAGAAATATGGTTAGGCCCAAGAAGGACTGTTTATTCTGAACTCCAGATGCACCTGCTTAATGCTGACATTCTCCCACGTCGAGCCCAACAGGCACATCTATGGTTCCAGTCATTCTCCCAGCTCAATCTTGCTCTTGGAGAGGGTTGAGTCATCATCCCATTTTTCACCTAGATTGATGGTGAAGACTTCTCTCTGCCTTATATTCTGCAGTCTGGGATGACGAGGTCTCCTTATCTCCTGTGGACGCTGGGTTTTTTTTACCAATTCTCCCCAGTTTTATGTCTGGAAGACAGAGACTTTTGGTGCTAGACGTAGCTGACGTTGTTATGGCTGTGGTACTGGAAGTGGCTGTGGAGATGTCCTCACCTAATGCTTGACTTCCCACAAAGGCCTAAGTATGTGGTGTGGCGGAATTATTTCTTCTCTTCCTTCTCTTTCTTTATTATTCTTCTCCTCTTCCTCCTCAGTTATCGCATTGATAACCAGCTCATTAAATAAATATCCTGCAAATACAAGGTGCATTTGGAATTAAGCCGTCTCGACATTTCTTCTCATAAAGGCAATAACGTCGTATTCCAAAAGCAGTAAGTCACACAGGTATCGTGGGGATGACATATGCTTGATGGTCTTTTGGTTTGCGATGAGAAAGTTTATCTTTATCACAGACAATATGATTCCATGAAGCGGTCTGCGTGCTGTTTATCAAAAGGTAATAAAGATCTCAGGTATCCATTTTGTTATGTCGATTTTGTTTTGTTTTGTTTTTGTTTTTGTTTTCTTTTTTCCACGTGTAATGATAATTCATAAAAAATGGCATACTGGACGATCGATGCAATTTTGTGTTTTTGAGATAACCCTCCAGCAACATCAATTGCATCATTGAAGTTTGGAGACGAAAGAACATTTGTATTTCAAGTGTGGCTATTAACATTTACAAAGCCTCTTGACTGTTTTCAGACCAATAACATTTGGTTTTCTTACTCAACAAATTGGTCATGAATTCAGCAAAAATGGAAAACATTGGATCACAATGTCCGAGAATATCCAGCCATACCCAAACATTGCATCAGCTGCTTTTTACTGATAGACACAGGTAATTAGAGATAGCTTTATCCTTATCCTTATTGCTTTAATTTTACCGCTTCCAATGATATTCCCAAAAATGTAACATAAGCACGGAACAACTCAATTTTGGATCAAATTGAGTCTGAATCTATCAAGAAATTTCTGAATGGTCTTTATTTGATATTTCCAGTTGAAATTGTAAATGTAAATAACATCTATGTAAGCAGCCCATTTATATAGATCCGATGAAATCATGCTCATTAAACGTCTGAAAAATAAGGGCGAATCTTTCACTCCAAACGTTATTACTTTAATTTGATATTGACATCTGGAGTTACGAAATTTACTTTGTCCTTTCTGTGACAGCCTCTTCTTAAAATTTTGTGACATAGCATGCATTTTGAATTTTGCCAAGGCATTCATCGATTCTTTACACTGGAAAGGAATTTGATTTGGTCACACAGTTCACTTTTCTATAATCAGTCGATGTAACTGCTAAACGTATTACCTACTCCAAATTGTTTAATATTTCTGAATGCCGACAATTAGTTACAAAGTCACTACAGTCCGACGATTAGTTACAAAGTCACTACAGTTCAACTATTAGTTACCAAGTCACTACAGTCTGACTATTAGTTACCAGTCACTACAGTCCGACGATTATTTACAAAGTCACTAGAGTCCGATTTCATTCCATCGCCTAAATATTGATAGTGTGGGACAGTTATTATGATAGTGTGGGACAGTTACTATGGTAGTGAGGAACAGTTACTATGAATGTGTGGGACAGTTACTACAAAACTGACAATATGATTAACAGGACTATATCAACATTCTCCTTTAATAACATTTGCATGGCAAAGTTATTTATGTTTTTGCCTCCTAGGAGAATTAATGATATAGTTTAAACCACTTAATTCTTTTGGTTGTATAAGGACCGTAATACTTGTAATTTCACTTTTGACGGAGTATGGTGAAGATTAGTTCTTGCAACTTCACAAACCTCTGATAAATTCCATTTGAGATCATATCAATGGCTAGGAGAGTATATCAAAAAAGAGTTCAAAAGCACTAAGTCTTGATGATTCTTGAACGGATTCCATAACAGCAAACAACAGTAAATGAACACGTTCATCCAGTCTTTTATCGCATCAAAGGAATAATAACCGAATCATGGTTGCCAGAGTTTGATGAAATCTTTTTAAAGCTGCTTGTCTTTCAGGGTGATAGGCAGAAGACTTATATTGCTGAATTCCTAATGCATGCATAACATGGTGGAAAATTGGATGCATAAAATTTGGCTTTTGATCAGATTGGACAAATTTGGGAAGACCAAATTGTGCTAAAACTTTTTAAACTTTTTACTATGATTCTAGTTTTTTATATTTCTCAAAGGAATTGCCTCTGCTGATATTGTTGGCGCACACATTAGGGTCAACATGACGTTGTCTTTGGTCAGGGACCAACGAAGTAATATGCAACCTTTTAAATTTAGACGGAATACTTTGCAAAGCTTTACATCATGATCTCATGTTGGAACTTGGTATTCTCATGGAACTATCTGTAAGACCAGGTCTTAGATCCTTTCGAAAGTCTGTATATTATTTGATTTGCTGTTTATTTGATTTGAAGCATACATTTCCAGAGGTGTGCTGCTCAATTGTTGGTCGGATCCAACAAGTAGAGCATCTGAGTTTCCTATTTCTCATATTATTACCTTGGTATCTCTGGCTATTAGTTTGCTGCAATTTTTGTAAATTGGATTTAACCAATATTTCTCTTGTAGTATTTGTTTTCTTGTTTGTCATCTGATGGATGGGTCATTTGCCTTGTTGTCATCTGATGGATGGGTCATTTGCCTTCTTGTCTTAACTTTCTGTTTGGATAGTCGATTGAACGGGATTTGGAGATGCAAAAAAATATAAACAGGTAATGTCTGTCCGTCTAAACGAATAATTTATGGAATGTTTTAATCCCCTTTATCTACGCTGGCAGAGTTTTGTGGAATATTCTACATGTATAATATAGACATTAATTATCATCAATAATTGTTTATTATTGCTGTAAAATGAGTTAGGAAGTCTGCATCTGCATCATAGTTCAATGAAATCACAAATTCAGAATACGTACAGAAAACACGATAGACAAGATGAAGAGGTAATTCCATAATTACCTAATGCTAGACTGGCTGAATTGATTTCAAATATCGGAAAGGAAGAAAACTTTTCATGTCATTGTCATTACAAAGTAATGACATTAGAAAGATGTACTCCTTTCTGTATTCTCTTTAAAAGCTATAGAATGCTTGCTTGGCTGGTTTCAGCTTTATAAATCATTAAATTTAAAAAATAAAAAACTCAAGCAAACATTTTGCTGTTTATTTCACATGCACCACTACGAAAATATACTAAGTAATGTAATCGCAAGCAATGCAAGATGTTTTCATTCACGTGGGTTAATATATAATTAATATGTCTACAGCTGCCTTGATGGATCATAAATAAACGAACACCTTTTGGAATCCATCATACATAATAGTTCTTTACATGACGAACGAAGTTGGTTTCTTTACTTCATCTGGGGTACGTTTTATGTTTTAAGGAGAAGTTGAGTGTTACCATTGAGTCAGTCATTTGGTTTATTATCAGGGCTACGTTGCCATTTTAGAAATTACTGTGTACAAACGTTAATCACTGTGATATAGTGCAATTGTCATTACCATGCATCATTGTTTTACCGCTCCGGTGGCTTAGTGGTTAGAGTGTCCGACTGGGATTCAGGAAGTCGTGGATTCTATCCCCGGTCAAATCATACCAAAGACTTAAAATGGTACTAACAGCTGCCTCGCATGGTGCACAGCATTAAGAGGCTAGTGTTAGGAATGGTCGGACTGGAGTCAGAATAATGTGACAGGATGGAACATCATGCTACATGTCTGTGGTATGATGTCCCAGTGCTAGACATCACTATAAAGTGCTAGACATCACTATAAAGCGCTAGATATCACTATAAATTGCTACGATTCAGATATCGTAGCGAGAAGATTGAAAAATTGTTAAAGCTGCGTTAAAATTCATAATCACATTACATCGCATCAGTTTTTGCAATTCCACCTATATAAAAGCATTTTGATGGCACTATTGAAATATGTAAATGGAAGACATAAATTTTCTTTGGTAGGTTAACGAAATCAGATATGTATCAACAAGATCTAATGGCTAAACACGCCCATTTTTCATTCGGTACATATGATATATTTCTCTTGAAATCATTGTTCTTAACTGACATAAACATTCTTGTTATGTTAACATGTTGTAGGCGACCGCGTCTAAAATTGCTAATGTGTTTCGTAGATAAGCTCTCCTGTATAAAATGTCCGATTAGATAACAAAATCTTCGATTGATTGATGAAATTTTAAATCTAAAATATATTTGATAATTTTCCTTCCCTGCCTCGGTATCCGTGATACAATGAGGTTCTCACAACAAATCATATAATTTGGGTAACCTCCTGTTCTTTACGGGATATCCTCAAGCATAAAATTCATAAAATATAAATTGGGTAGAAAGCTTTTTGTGTAAAAAATGGACATTAGCTATACCAAAACCTAACGCCTTCAATGATCGTGTAAAACCTATTAATTAAAGCATATTCTATAATATCTTTTCTTCCACAAGCACATTATTAAGGGGATTATTTTAGTGTAAACTATCCAAGTTAGTTAACATATAAACCTAATCACAATTCATGCTGACATTTCATTTTGGTCTATTAATTTAACAACTGAGAAAACAATTAAAAAGGGAGTGGAAAGAAAGGCAAAAAAATGGAAATAATAATCTATAAGAAAATAAATATTCTTTGTTTTATTCTGTGCAGGTTTAAGTAAATTTAAAAAGCCATATTTTATCTATTTTCGACTATATTACTATATTATAACCTGTGTCAAATTAAAACTTTGTTTCTAGCATGTTTGATACATATCCTCTCTAAGAAGATGAATACATCAGTAAAATTTAATTTAAAAAAATAGTTTTTCTTGTGGGAAAATATGTATTTAGACCTACTTTTGTAGTTCTCCACAGCAAAAGTATTTTTGCTGTAGACATCGGGATCTAACATTGACATTGTTAGCTTGAGTTAATGTATATCCATCAAGTAAATTCTGGTCTAAAATTAATAGTTTTTATGACCTACGTGTTGGTGCAGATGAAGGTATCCCTTTGTATAACCTAATCTTGCTAAGGTTATTATGGCAATAGAAAAAAGATAATGCCAAAAGCGATATTGGTGTGCATTTCGAGAGATTTCGACAGAAAATATAATATTTGCATGGCGGTAATATTTTAGAGGGAACTACGGCTACGTGTCAATAGTGAGATGAAGTGTATTGATGACACAATTAAATCAATGGGCCAATATTCTACACGTATTGCCATTGCAAGGGTGTGATAGGAAAAGAAGTTCTCCTGGAGCGAAACCTGAGTGACATGACAATGATGGTAAACAAAATCGTCATATCTTCACCAAACAAAAGCTAATAAATTGTTTATTATACGCGACCAAACAAAACAGGAACACCATCTCCAGAGGAAGAAATTGTTAGTTTTATTTGGTATAAAATGTCGTTAATGTTATTTCTCTACAGAGGAAAATCTAATAAGATGACGTAATTATCGATACAAAGAGTATTTCATCTATCCTTGTCATAAACATAATTGTAAAGCAATATATTTAAATGAGGTAAAGTCTAACGTTCTAGTTACGTTTATTCGCATGTCTTAAGTTTTGATTTTGCTAAATGCCAAACAAACCTGATGATCGACTTCTTTCACCCAATTTTCAGATTTCACTATCTATGTATTGCAAAAGTCAATAATACACATTTAGCAATAGTTTGTATGTAAGGATTCATATTAACTCAGTAATAAAAACAATATTTCCTCCATGCATTTGTAAATATGCTGGACATGTAAATTCTAGTAGCATGGCACTAGACGTATTCACATCTTTACTAAAGACAAATACTGACAAATGTATATGGACAATTCAAACATGTCTGGATATAGTTCCAAATATATATATATATATATATATATATATATATATATATATATATATATATATATATATATATTGGTCAAGTCATACATGTTTAGTTATAGTGACACATGTAAAACTCAGTGTTCTGCACATGCGAAACTTCATTTTCTCTGTTCTCTACAAATGTCATAAAATTATATGGCAACTAGCAAGCAGCTGTACCTATCATGTATATGGTCGGCATCATGTTCCCTCTTACGGCTGTAACTGCCGACCCCATAACAGGTACCATGGTAACTATTATGGCTATAACTATCATGTCTACGTCAAGTATCATGTTGATTTAAGTATCATGCCTATGTCAAGAATCATGTAATCTATTAAGGCTGTAACTATCAGGTCTACGACAAGTATCATGTAATCTTTTAAGGCTGTAACTATCATGTCTACGACAAGTATCATGTAATCTATTATGGCTGCAACTCTCATGTCTACGTCAAGTATTATATAATCTATTATGGCTGTAACTATCATGTCTACGTCAAGTTTCATGTTGATTTAAGTATCATGCCTGTCAAGCATCATGTAATTTATTAAGGCTGTAACTATCATGTCTACGTCAAGTATCATGTAATCTATTACGGCTGTAACTATCATGTCTACGTCAAGTATCATGTAATCTATTATGGCTGTAACTATCATGTCTACGTCAAGTATCATGTAATCTATTATGGCTGTAACTATCATGTCTACGTCAAGTATCATGTAATCTATTATGGCCATAACTCTCATGTGTGTGGCACCTATCATGTTACTTAGTATGGCTATGAACATTTGAAACAGAACAATAGCATTCTTCCCTATCGTCCGAAATCATTGCATTAATTTGCGGGTGGAGATGGGTACATGTGCTCTTAGTATCTTAAAAATGTGACTTATGATGAATTGAAAGTCATTACTATATCTTGCTACATTGTTTGTGATGATTTAATATTCCTGATAATATCGGTGTGCGCATTGTGTGCAAAATGTTATTTGTAAGGAAGATGTACATAACTCTTTTTAATTGCAAAATAATGAAATTAAATGAAAATTCATTGACGTAAGATACTTTTTTAATATAGAATAAGGAACGCAAAGCATCCTAAGTACGCAGAACAAGTACTGATTTATGTACGCACGTCAGTATTCTGAACCCAATTCAACTCAATCATAAACGTTTGGATCTCTCTACAGCTTTGAAAGTAAGTAACACATGTCCTTCGAAATCCTTCAGATGTTTCACTGCCCAAACACGTCCAGAGATACTCTGGTGGATACACGCCAAATACATTGATTCTTACAACGCTGTAATGATTCTCACGTCACATAAATTGATTTTTACAACGCTGTAATGTTGCACACATCAAATATATCGATTCTTACAACGCTGTAATGATTCACAAGACAAATACATTAATTTTTAAATCGCTCTAATGATTTATAAGTCAAATACATTGATTCTTACAACGCTGTAATGATTCAAACGCCAAAAACATTGATTCGTACAAAGGTTTACTGATTCACACACCAAAAACATTGATTCTTACAATGCTGTAATGATTTACACGTTAACTACATTAATTCTTACACCGCTCTAATGATTCACACGTCAAATACATTAATTCTTAAATCGCTGTAATGTTTCACAAGTCCAATACATTGATTCTTACAACTCACTCTGTAATGATTCGAACGTCATATACATTGATTCTTACAACGCTGTAATGATTTTCACGTCAAATATATTTGATTCTTACAACGCTGTAAAGATTCACAAGCCAAATACATTGATCCTTACAACGCTGCAATGATTCACACGCCAAAAACATTGACTCTCACAACGCTGTAATGATTCACACGTCAAGTACATTGATTCGTACATCTCTGTAATGATTCATACGTCAAAAACATTGATTTTTACAACGCTGTAATGGTTCACACGAAACATGCATTGATTATGAGAAAGCTGTAATAATTTACAAGCCAAATACATTGATCCTTACAACGCTGTAATGATTCACACGCCAAATACATTGATTCTTACAACGCCGTAATGATTCATACGCCAAATACATTTATTCTTACAACTCCCTAATGACTGACACGTCATATACATTGATTCTGACAACGCTGTAACGATTGATACGTCAAATACATTGAATGTTACAACTCCGTAATGATTCACTCGTCAAACTCATTGATTTTTACAACGCTGTAATGACTCACACGTCACATACATTGATTCTGACAAGGCTGTAACGATTCATACGTCACATAAATTGATTCCTACAACTTAGTAATGATTGACACGTAAAATACATTGGTTTGTACAACGCTGTAATGATTGACACGTCAAATACATTGATTGTGACAATGCTGTAATGATTCACACGTCAAATACATTGATTCTTGCAACGCTGTAATGATTTGCAAGCCCAAAACATTGAGCCTTACCACGCTGTAATGACTCTCAAGCCAAATACATTGATCCTTACAACGCTGTAATGATTCAAACGCCAAATACATTGATTCTTACAACGCTGTAATGATCCACAAAGTTTTTTATAAGAGCTTCTTCCTCTTTAGTGGGTAAAGCGTCAAGATACAATCTGTAATGATTCACACGTCAAATGCATTCATTCTTACATCGTTGTAATGACTAACACGTCAAGTACATTGATTCTAACAACGCTGTAATGATTTAGACGTTAAATACATTAATTCT